CCCCAAAACCCCAAAACCCCAAAACCCCAAAACCCCACATAATATTTTTAATGTTGAAACTACATACTGTAAATAATTTTACTGATTTTTTCCACCAACTGTTGCTTCACCTGATGAGCAGGATCATTGTCATCAAATTCATAAACCTCAGTCAGAAAAACCATCTTCCTCTGCCTTTTAAACCTCTTCTGCAAATACTTAAGATACCTCAGATCCTTATTCACCACCGAGTAATAAGAACTTGTTTTCACTTTGGGCCACTGTTTGAACGAATCTACGACGACTTGTTCCTTATCATCCAAGAGACGGATCCTCAGCAGCACAGGCTTGCATGAATCACACTTAAAGTCAACAAATAAGCCAATCTTGCATTCGGCAGACTTTTGCATGGTGAGGTAGAGAGTAGGAGTGTTTTTATCCTCGAGAATGAACTTTTCAGTTGACTGTCATACTCAGAATCTTTTAACATCAGTTTGGTCGAGTACATATCTTATGCCAGACAATTTCTTCAGCCGATCAAAGAACTTATAATATTCTTCCGATAACTCTGAAGTTTGGCTTTCTCTAAAGAGTTTGTCTCAAGAATTAATTAATTTGTCAGTCTCTTTACTTCACTTTGTATCCCCATCCATCAGCTTCTGGTAGGTTTTGTCTAGAGTTGAAAGTTCTTTTGTTATCTGATCTTCTTTGATTTCTCTCATGTTTTCAAGAAAAGTTCGTATTTCGGCGATCACTTTTTCTGTCAGATCTTTATCATCATAAGGGATACTTTTGTAAAACTTCTCAATAAACTTTTTACGTCTCTTTTTCTCATCCTGTAAAACTTCACAAAGTATGATGCTTTCGTCGAGTTTGAGTTTTTGATATAATTTCCGCCCTTTAACTTTTGTAAGTAATTTATGACCTGAATGAATGCCTACAGATAAACAGGACATACAAATGTATTTCTCTCACTCTACTCAAAATGAAATAGGACTCTTCTTGCATTGGCTTCAGCTATCTTCAGCTTCTTGTTTTATTTCAACTAACTCAAGAATTGGAACAATCATGTAGTTTAATACTAGGTTACTAGTAGTAAGTCTTTTGTTTCAGTTTGGGCATTTCTTATTGTTTTGGAGCCACTGAAAAATGCATCCTTCACACCATGTTCGTGAACACTCTGGACAAGATCTTGGGCGTGCTTTGAAAATGACTTCGTGTCAAATCTGACATTTAAGATTATTTTTCAGATTCTTATTCATGCTTTTGCTTTGAGTATTCCAAAGAAGTCTAAAGTTGTATCTTCCATTATTTAAGCATTAGCACAGTTTAAATTATATTCAATTAAATTATATCAATTCGGGGTTTTGGGGTTTTGGGGTTTTGGGGG